TCCTCGAGGCCGTCCATCAGCCGCTCCACCGTCGAGTAGATGCGTTCCACTCGGGCTTGGCTTTGATCCATGAGATCGGTAGAAAACTGAAGCGGCGAGCGATAGTGGCTTTGCAACATGAGCATGCGGACGACCATCGGGTCGAAGGGACCGTCGGGCCAGATCATGTCCTTCAGCCACTTCACGTTGCCCAGGGATTTCGACATCTTCGACTGTCCATCGACGGTGTGCTCGTCCTCGGCTTCTTGCTCGGTTTCCACCTTCACGGTGATGAAACCGTTGTGGATCCAATAGCGCACGGAGTCGCCACCGGACAGCTCGTCGCAATAGGCGCAATCGTTTTGAGCCTTTTCGTTCTCGTGATGCGGGAAGAGTAGATCCTGACCCCCACCGTGGATGTCGAAGGGCATGCCCAGGTAGTGGCGCGAGAGGGCCGAGCACTCCAAATGCCATCCCGGCCGACCCCGGCCCCAAGGTGAATCCCAACCGGGAACGTGCTCTGGGTGGGCTCGGAAATCTTCGGAGTCGTTGGTCAGTAGCTTCCACAGAATGAAATCCGCTGAATTCTTCTTCACCGACAGCTCATCCTCGCTCAAACGGCCGGACCGCCCGGATTCTTGGTCCTCAAGGTTGCGGTTCGAAAGGGCCAGATACCGATCGAAGGAGTGGGTGTCGAAGTAGACATCACCGTTGCTCGCCACATAGGCGTTGTCGGTGTCCAACAGCCGCTGTACCAGATCGAGCATTTCGGGCACATGGTCCGTGGCCCGGGGATGCACGTCCACGGGACGATTGCCGACCGCCGCCATCAGACGTTGGTATTCGTCCATGTAAGTCACGGTGATCTCGCGCCAATTGCGATTCTCCCGAATCGCCCGCTTGATGATCTTGTCGTCGACGTCGGTGAAATTGGCCACGTAGCGGACCACATAGCCTTTGTGCTCGATATATCGGCGGACCATGTCGGGCACGATAGCGGCCCGCGCATGGCCGAGGTGCAAGCTGTCGTAAACCGTCGGGCCACAGTAGTACATGCCCACCCGTCCGGATTCCCGATCGAGGGGAATGAATTCCTCTTTTTGGCGTGTCTGGGAGTTGTAGATCTTGAGCATGGTTGTCCTGCGTGGCCGGTCGTTTTCTAAAGCGGAACGGGCTCCGAGAGCCCGGAAGAGTACCACGCCCTGCAACCCTGCCAACGGACAAATCGGGCAATTGAGCCACAACCCCTATGAAAGTCCGAAGCTGAAGCTCGGAACCGGCACT